GCTGTTCTGGTTCTAGCTGCAGGGCTACAGATGCTGTCTGTTCCAGCATCCTGAGCTGTCTACCCTCATATACTCTCTGAGGCCCTTCTTACTCCTCTCAAAAGTCATGGAGATGCCAAACCAGCTTTGTGCAAAAATGAAGTTCCTCATACTGCTCCTTTTTATGAAAAACACAAGGTCCCCCATGATGGAGTCATTAGACTTGGTGTCTGGTTCTCCCTGGAAAGCCGGGCAGCTTGGAAATACATCCCTGTGAAAGGTGGACAAGAACTCATGGGCATTGCTTGTGGGACCTGGAAAGGACTGAGACAACTGGAAGCACAAAGAGGAGGGGTAGGGTTCCCTGTGTGACTTCAACAGTCAGCTGCTCTGAAGAGTGTTTTTGATGTGCACTCTGACACCTGAGCTGACTGACGTCTTATTGAAAGCAGCAGCTTTGTGCCATTCACATGGAACTGTATGTGCTCTTTCCTTTGCAGTGCATGAGGTGGAATGTGCAGAGTGAGTGAGGGCAAGGCAAAAAAAACATGTGAGCCAAGAGTGGTGGGAGCTGTACAGCCTTGGAAGTGTCCTGAAAACAAATACCACAACTTCCCCCTTGGCTTTTCTCTGTGTCTGTGTAAAAGTCTGTGGAACAGAAGTGAGGGTCATCCAGAAAAGTGACAGCAAGCCAGACTGAGCTGACTGGGAGGTGAGTGGAACAGAGTGTGCATGCAGGACCTACAAAGGTGTGGAACAGCAGCAATCCACTTCCATGTGACCCCAGCAGCAAGGAACACTATGCTTCTCACTCAAACTGCAGGAAAGTAGTTGCTAGGTAAAATTTTGTTTCATGACAGCCCTCAGTCCAAAATTCATCCAACTTCCTTAAAGTGGGGGTCACAAGCAGACTGGATCAATTCTGGAGTACATCAAGGATGATTCAATTCCATCAGGACAAACACAGACTACACCTGAGGAGGGAAGAATGACCCCTTGACAACTCCCAGGGGAGCTGGTACTCCTGGCCATGGTGATGCTCCTGGTGAGGCAGTACAGGTCTACATTCCATGAAGTGTCTGAATAGATGCACAACAGCGTATCCCTGCACAGGTGGGTATGTGGGTGGACAAGACATGTTGGCAGACACCAATGTCAGCAGAGACAACTCTGCTCTCCCTCTGGGACATCCACACTGCAGGTAGGGAGGTGAGGGGATCATGAAAAGCCCAGAAACCTCCTGGTCTGAGCTGCTTCCCCATGTCATTCACTGTAAAGACATTGATGGTGGCAAGGAAAATCTGCCTTGAGGATGCTTAGGTAGAGATGCACTTACACAGCAGTATAGATACTGCATTGTGAGTATACATCACAGCTAGAGTCTTTAAGCAACAGAGTGAGATGGAAACTCTTACTCCTACTTCCATAATTATGCAGTCATAATTTACAGTTTGTCTCTTTACATGCAAAGTCCAAAGCATTAAATTATCATAGGTGTAGCAAGTACTAAAATAAAATTTAAAAGAAAAGAGAGAGCAAAACTTGCTAATGATCACATTTCTTCACTTACAGCCATTCAAGAGTACTCTAACACCGATATCACACCTTTTCTTCCTGAACTCTCACTTCATCAACTTACTTTCTAGTCTTTTTTTTGCCAGACTTAATCACATGTCCCATGTGTGGCAGCTAAAATCCAAATATTTCTAGTGCCTCATGCTTTATCCAACTGCAGCAAGTGAAAAAAGACACTGTCTTAAGAAAGAGATTAACCTTTCCTTCAATGCCAACTCAGACATTTTTCCACCTGTTTCTTAAAATAGTAATAAATGAAAGATAATCACGGCTAGCAGCAAAACCTATGAAAATTGCCCAAATCTTTCTCCTCAGACATGGCCCTCACAGTTAAATTCCAACACAGTATTACTTTCACCCCTCCAGATAAAAAGCAGGATTTTCCAGAATGCAAAGAAACACCCAATGAGAAGTTGTGGGATTGCTGATATGCTTTAAAATAGGAATATCATGTGTTAGCAGGTCTTATAGTTGGTTCCTAGAAGTCGTTACAATGTATTTCTGTTTTGTGGATGAACAAGTTTTAGGGAGTTCTTAGAAGCTATTTAAATGAAAATAAAATGAAATAAAATGAAAATATTGGGTGAAACTGTGGAGCCGTCTTACGCTTTGATCTTGACAGGTATAATTAAATTATATTCAATGGCATTTTAGATTAAGTACTTTCAGATTTGGCCTCCATAACAACAGCAGTGAGAAATATTAAGACAAGATAAATAATCTTCTTATTTTTGCATACCCTAGTCCCATCACTGATCAGATTACTTGTGTCTATCTGTTCTCTGTTTCAAGAGACTGATGTTCTGGCTCATAATATAGAAAAGTTTTAATTCTATTCACTTCATTAAATAATACTGCTCAAATAAAAAAAGATAGCTAAAACCATCACAGTATAAAATGAGAACTCTAATTTTAATTAAGGACCAATCCTTGATAAGCAGGAAAGCCACTAGCCTATGACATTTGAGTTTCAATCCTGTCTCTAAGAGGAAGCCTGAAGTCTCTAACTTATTGTGGGAGTTAAAATTCTTTTTTTTTCTTTTACATTTCATTAGTGCTTTCTTCACATACTATATATGGTACAAATTCAAAGATAGTGTTGGAAATGGGGAAAGCTGAGAAGAAAGTTCATCTCTATAATATTCAGTCCTCAGTGCAGTGTGCAGGACATGATTTTCTGAGCCTGAGAGAGTTTTCACTGTCAGCGGCTGGTCTGTTCCCAGGGGAAAGTTTCTTGGAAACATGTTTCTCTCAAGGACTATTTTTTGTAAATAGGTTTTTGGTTCCCAAAACATTCTTATACAGATGTCTTGAATGTTTTCTCTTGTCCCACCAATGGGATGAGATAGGTGTTGTTCTCTTTACCAATCATGTTAAACCTGTATTGGAACACCTTATAAAAAGGGGCTGAAAACTGAAATAAAGGCTTCTGCCTTCTTCAAACTAAAAACCTCTGGCTGCTGTGATTGAATACATGCTCCTATTTTGTGACCACTAGCAACAGTGCCAAATCTCCTGACACATTTTGTTCCCAACTTTCCCATTTTTCTTGGGTATCCTTTCCCAAGGTCCAGGGATTTGTTTTTTACTCTTCTTCAGCTAGGGAATAAAACCTGTTTCAACCTGGAAGAAGCATGGCTTCCTCTTAGGAAAGTGTATGAAATACTTCCCCAGTGTAGACAAGGTGACAGAAGGAGAGTGTGCATGTAAGAAAGAGTTAATTAATTTTGTTGCAAATTACAATATAGATTGTTGGCTACATGGACTGTTTCTCACCTGATATTACAATGGCTGTTGGAGGCTAGGATCAAGATTTTAAATACATCCCTGTTTTTTGTTACGAAGACAAATGAAAAGGAATTATATGGCAGCTGTGACTGAAATAAAAGATCTCTTGCCTGCCTTCTGCCTTTAAACACAGATCACAGCTCCCAGATCCCCCTCATCTTCAGGACTCTTTTGTTCAGCTAAGAAGTGAATTCTGGCAGTCTGCCTTAAGGATCTTGCAGTAGACTGACTGCTAGTTTCAGTGTCTTCTGAGAAGGACAAAACAGGGGGTGCCCACTAAACCTTGGTGAGTAAAGCATTTGAGATGCACTGTCTAGCACTTCTCTTAAGGAGACAGAACATCTGACAGCCACAGTCAAAATCATGTTAATTGGGAATCTACCATTCAGTAAAAAGGCAAAATTGAATAGTTCATGTAATGTTTTTTACCCCCACTCATTGCAACAAAATACAGAGTGTGAAATGGTTCTTACCAGAACACACAAATGATGTGCATTCCTTTTTTCTCTCATCTTATTAAGGGACCACACAGCAGATACGCCCTTCCTCTGCTCATAACCAAAACTCAGTCCTCCTCGGTGCCTTTTACCACACAATCCTTTTCATAACATCCTCTTATCATCTAGTATCTTCACCTTCTGCAGGACCACAAAAAGTCACTTGCTGAATCACAGGCTGTCCCTGAGAGGGATAAGTCTTTTCTATATCCAGAGAAGGAACAACAACCTATTTATCTGTATTACTGGAAATGTTCTTTGGAAACAAATGTGGCAGTTCTTCTAGCTTCATTAAGATTCCCTATCATAATAAAAAGTACAAAACCAGTGATGCTGTCCCACATATACTAGGTAAACAAATCCTGATTTTGCAGGTGCATTTGGTGGAAACGAAATTGCTGGGCTAAAGTATAGGCTGGATAAGACTGAATAGAAGAACACTTCTTCACTATCAGTTGTTTGAAAATATTCTTATCGGAAAATAAATTCTTTAAAGATAGATTGCAAACACTGTAAGCATGTGAAGGTAGTATAGCTATAAAACATAATTGTCTCCCTGTGATAGAGTGGAAATCAAATCTTCATATTGATTGACATATATGTATGTTGCATTTTTTCAGGCATTTTAAATAGTGACTCAAAATTTTCACCTTACCATCTCCATTCATATACTCATTTCCATTTCTGGTGTAATTTTACATGTCATTATCACTCTGTGTGTTTTCTTTTTATACACTGCATTCACTTCATTTCTCCCTTTCATTTTACTTCCTTTGATACCCTGACAGCTGGGTTTAAGAAAGTGCTGCTTTTATTTACTGTCACTACAGGCAAGGAAATTAGCACCTTAATGGGAGGCATGCTACATGGAGCAGATAGGCATTATGGAGCTCTTAAACACATTTCACTTCACAGTGATTAACAAAATTTAAACCAGGCATCAGCCACTTCCTTTTCTCCCTATGCTGCCTTTGCAGAATGACAGCCACAGAAATTATGTGCATTACAAAAAGTAGCTCAAGCTTCACCCTTGATATTGTTGTCAGAGGACAGCAGCAATAATGAACTTACTTTTCCATATATGATTATTCCAGAGGAATAATGTACCAGTCAACCTAATGTCTTTTCTAGTCAATTCCCCATTGCAGCAACAATGGTTACCTCTGAAATATCCCAGGGTTAACTGCAGTTAGAGCTTAAGGGCTGGATCATGAGCAATGCAGGGGGCTGAAGGGACAAGAAAGAAGACTATACGTTCCCACCTTCAGGTAATAGCACTCTGTGAGAGACTGAAATCACAATGGTTAATGACTCAAACAATTGGCCACTTGTGAAAGTAGTGGATGCTTTGCTGAGGCCAAGTTTGCACCACCCAGCCAAAGAGGAAGAGGAGAGGTTTTGGGTGTGTAATGGGGAAGCCTCTAGACTGTGTAGGAACAGTTCAGGTATATTCTCTCATCACTGAAGAATGGAGAATGACTATGCAAACTGACCTTTGTTTTAGCAACAACTGGAGTTTGAGCCAAAAAAAGGCATGAGGCTGATAAGAAGCAGATCCCACTAAGTGGGATAATGGTTCTTATCATGCCAATGTCCCCCATGCACAACTGATCAGGTGTCTCCTCTGGGGAAGTACCAGGACATTCACATGAGACCCTGAAGACATCTGGCCCTTCTGATGGGCCATAACTGGCTCCACTACTCTGTCATATCTTAGAAGGTGTCATAGACCACCACCAACCCCTAAACTGCCTCCAGACTCACCTCTGGAGCCTTCAACCAGAAGACTGCACATGACCCATAGTGTTATATTAGAGGGTGTGAAACTCCCCAGAGGAGTTTCCCAGAGCACACACCCCCAGACCCCAGAGAAGGTGCCTGGGTGTCTCCATAAACCTGAAGGTATATTAACCCATGAACTCTGTGTTTTGTGGGCTTCCCCTGCCCCTGACAGATCCAGACTGTGACCACCATTTCAACCAGCAGACACTGAAATTGCAGCAAATCTTTTCAATGGATCTATGGATGGTGATATATATTTATGCTTATTCTTTCTTTTTTCTTTCTTTTCTTTATATGCTTTTATATTGCTTTATTTCTGCAGATAATCACCCAAATGGCTACATACCTCTTTTCCATTGCAACCAAAGTGCTCTAAAATAAACCCTACATGTACACTTACGCTGATTGACTAATGTTCATATGCGTATGTATAAACATTGGTCATTCAGTATTGTTTCACTCTAATCTGCTCCAAGGGATATATTAACCCTCACCTTCAGGGTCAGGTTGTAACACAATCTTTACAGAGAAGCATCTATAAACTGTTAGAGCAGGATTAACTTGCTGCAAATCTCAGAAAGAAGATGCCAAATGGCATGACAGACAAACCTTGCAGTATGCTGCACAGGAAAGAACAGTAGCTCTTCCCTGGAGAAATGCAGTCACTCACTGCTTCCAGGGATAAAACATACTCCACACTGTTGGTACTCACATTGTAAATTTCACAAACCTCCCCCCTCCCCCTCCCCCCATTTGTAGTAAGAAGGACTTTTAGGAACTTTTTAGAGATACTGCAGAAAAATGCAATGAGAATTTTTCTTTCCAATCAGAATCCCATGATCTTTGGAAATGCACAGTCCATTCTTCCAGAAATGCAGAGAAACATTCACTTACGAAATGCTGTTGACTGTTAACTGATGTTGAACTCACACTACCTAATGTTAGGCCCCAAAGTAGGTGTCTGTGTTCAGAGACTTGTGTCTGTGAAAAATCTCTTTCCAAGACGACTGAAAGACCTTAAGGAAACTAGTTTCCCAATGGAGGCATTAAGGATGTGTGGTAAATGTAACTTTGGAAAAAATTCGTGAAGGAGGGAATAAGTATATAACTGTATTTATAACAGTATAGAACACATAAAAATATAGTGTGACCTAAAGATTCCTCCCCAGACTCAGCAGTAACTACCTATTCAGGTGATAACGACCCTAGGCGACGCTTATCAGCCTGAGAGGAAGGGCAGAACACGGGCCATCAGGCCAGACAATGAGGAGAGCCCAGCCGAGATGCCCAATGGCTCCACACCGAATCAGGATACCCCACCCTATAAGCCACGACCGAAAAAGCAATCTAACTGAACAATGGGAGGAGCCCAGCCGAGATACCCATCAGCTCCACACGGACCTGGACACTTCTCCCTGAGAGCCCAACCAAAGATACAATCAGGAGACAATCAGAACTTTTCACATGCGAAAGGACTCTGCCCAGTTGTCTATTGATTCAGTTCGATGGTTCCAGGAAATCCATTCAACCAACCATCTAGACTCTTTGTGGAACAGTGACTGCTCGGAGTTTAGCCCCAGGACACAAAATCCCTATAAAAACCCTGGACGGTCGACCCTCCGTGTGGATTTGGGGCCATTGCATTTATAACAGATGCGCCCTGGAAAATTAATTTGTTTAATATGCATGCTTCATGGATGAATAAGGCAGAAAAATGTCAAATCTGGTAGCTGAAATAAAATAAAGTGAATATTAAGGATATACAGCAAACCTTGTTACTCCAGTAGGGACCTGTATCAAGGGTGAAAATAACTCAAATCCAGTACTCCATGTGGTCTCTCATCACGTCTAAAAGAAACATAAAATGCTTGTAGGACTCAGAGTCAATGAAATTCCATAGTCAGGGGTTGGCATTGGTTATTAAATATATCCTTGAATTTGCACCTGGTATTCCAGGTTCCAGGCTGCTGTTGGCATCCCTTTTAATAAATGCATGCAACTGTGCTTGGGAGATCTGGGGTGCCTCAAGTGTCAAGAAATTGCATGTTTTTCTTTTCATAAATGAAAATAAAAACATTATATAATTGGTACTGGTACTATCCTTATATCTATACTCTAAACTTTACTAAACTTTACTGCACATGAACATGTACATCAAGGAACCATTTTGCAAGGGATTACTGCAAAACAAGCCTTTTAAAAATAACGCCCCACTTAGTTTACTAACTCACCCAAAATAGCTCCAGAAACGTCACACAAGAGACTTGTTGGGGGTTAGGTGTACTTTTAATTTTTTAGTTCTGGCTTGCCCGTGGATTTTTTACCCATTAGTTGCAGGGACAACCTAACTGTGGGTACTTAGTGGGTGCTCAACAAAAGACAAAGAGTTTGGCAGAGGCCCAGGGGGGAAGGGGGCAGGAAAAAAGGAGGGTGGGGACAGTTTGACGGGCTTTCTTTGGCTTCAGAGAAGGACACTTTGAGTGCAGAGCTGTTGCGGTGAGGAGAAGGGAATTTCGCCATCACCCAGATGGAGCGACTGCTTCCTCTCCTTCCCTCTTCGTTGGTGGCCTCGCACCCCTGTCCTGCCGGGACGTGTGGCAGTGCCAGCCACCGCTGCAGAGCTGCTGATAGCCCTCAGCCACCGGCCCGGGATCTCCGCTCATCCCGGCCGTTCCAGCTGAGTGTTGCTCAGAGCCCTGCAGGAGGACCGGCACTGCCCGCCCGAGGGGGTTTGTGAAGGAAAGCCTCTCCTCCATCCCTTCCCGTCTCAGCCGAGAAAGCTGTCACGGGGCCCCTGGTTCTGATTTGTTGTTAACGCCGTAGTTATTGTTTGTTTGTTTGCCTTGTTCTACGTACTAGTAAAGAACTGTTATTCCTATCCCCAGATCTCTGCCTGAAGGCCCCTTGATTTCAGAATTATAATAATTCAGAGGGAGGGGGTCTACATTCTTTCATTCCAAGGGAGGCCCCTGCCCTCCCTAGCAGACACCTGTCTTCTAGAACCGAGACAAGACCTGCTTAAAGTTAAACACATCTTCAAAACTATTCAGTTTAACTGGGGTCTTCTGCTATCTTCTGGTTCATCCAACTGCAATTCAGTATGACTTCTTGCACTTTGTTACTCACCTGTGGTGCCTTTTACTGTCTCGAGAATAGCTGTTTTGTATGGTGCGCAGAGCTTTAAAAACATCGGGAAGGGTTTGAGCCTACAACAAGGAGGATGAGGTAGTTAAAAAAAGACTGAAAAAAGCGGCATGGCAAACAAACCTAAAGAAGGGACTTTCTAAGTTACCTAAACATTCCTACGAGAAGGCACTTAGGAACTCTCAATTACTTGACACTGTAAGATGTTGAAACTGTTGAAATAGAGCACTTAATTTCCTATTCACAGTGGAGTCTGAATGGCTATTCCCATGCATATTTCTCATGTCTTTCTTTCAGAAAATCACAAAAATAGACAGTTTAGAAGGGACTGGCATGCTGCATGGATTAATCTGTTGGCTTGCCTGACCTGGACTGTGCCAGATGTGGCCCCTCTCAGGCTATGAATAGCCTCAAGTAGAGGTAAAGAAGGTCTGCTCAGCAGCAGTAAGTCTGCTTTTCAAAGCACTTCTGTGGTCAGCATTGAGGGTTGGGCAAAGACCAGGGAAGGGTCATTTGTGTGGGTTTCCCAAGAAGTTTACTATCCAGAAAGGTCCAGGGACAGAAGACAACAGATACAGGGATACAGCAATTTATATATGGGGGAGGAGTAAGGGGCGTGTACAAAAAATAAACCAATAGGGAAGACCTAGGGGAGGAGCACAAGGCAGGATTCGCAGAACATTGACCAATGGGGAACCTTGAGGGGAGGAAACAGTACACTTAATCCAATGGGGCATCAATATTGGATGATTGACAGGGAAGAGTCCAGAACAAAGGTTAGGTACCAAGTAAAACTGACAGGGAGTGAGCTGGGTGAAGTGGTAGGGTTACCCTGACTGGCAGGGAAGGTGCTGGAAGAAGGGGTTGGGATACAATGATTGCTGGTACAGGGGAGGAGAAAGCAACTTGGATTATACCAACAAAACAGGGGGGTAACCGAGCAAACCATGTATAAGAACTTCAAACTTAATAAAAGAAAAACACTCCACAACGGGGAACACAGTCCAGTCCCCCTTCTCAAGCAGGGTCATCTCAGAGCACATGGCTCAGGATTGTGTCCAGATGGTTCTTGAATTTCTCCACTGAGGGAGACTCCACAATTTCTCTGGGCAGCCTGTTCCAGTGTGTGGTTATGTTTACAGTTAGGAAATTCTCCTTCATGTTCAAGTAGAACTTCCTGTGGATCAGTTTCTGTCCATTACTTCTTGTCATTTTGCTTGGTTGCTTGGCAATCCTTAAAGAAATGTGGTCCAACCTCTTGACATGTGTTCCTCAGATACTTACAGAAATGGATGAGGCCCTACATCAGCAGTCTCTTAACAAGGCTGAAAAGGCCCAACTCAGTCTTTTCTCAGAATAGAGGTGCTCCCTTAACCATCTTTGTTGCCCTCTGCTGGACCTGCTCCAGAGCTCCATGACTTGCACTGAGGAGCCCAGAGCTGGACACAGTATCCCAGGTGAGGCCTCACCAGAGCTGAGTAAAGGAGCAGGATCACCTCCCCCTAACCTGTTGGCACTGCTCCCCTGAATGCAGCCCAGGATGTCCCTGGCCTTGGCCACCAGGGC